GAATAAGATAAGACTAAGCTTAAAAATCTTAAATTTATATATATAGCTAATTATAAATTTAAAGTTACTACGCTCTTTAATTAGATCGACTAAATTATCGCGAATAAATAAATTAATATTCGTAACTATTAAAAAAAAATCGCTTATTAAAGTTTACGCGATAGTTTTAATTAATAAATAAATATATATTATTCGAATTTAGAATAACTTTTTTATTTTCTATTAAAATTTTAAGAGTTTTCTTTTAAATTATAAAACGTAATATAAGCTTTTAGATAAAAAAAATTACTAAATTTAGTCTTATAGATATTTAAAGATAAGAAATTTAAATATCGTCTATTAAAAGCTCGCTCGATAGCTCTAATTAAAAAATAGATATATATTATTTAATTTTAGAATAACTTTCTTATTTTCTATTAAAATTTTAAGATTTCTCTTTTAAAATTATAGAACGTAATATAGACTTTTAAATAAAAAAAAGAATTTTAAAATTTGATCTTATAGTTCTTTAAAAGTAAGAAATTCAAATATCGCTTATTAAAGATCGCTTATTAAAGATCGCTTATTAAATTTACTCGATAGCTCTAATTAAAAAAAACGATTATAAATTTAATTTATAGATCTTTACTTATAACTATTATTATTATAACTATTACTATTATTATTATAGCTATTATATCGAATTTATTAAGTCGTTAATTAAAATAATAATTAGAATAGTTATTTATACTTTTAAATATAGAAAATATATTAGTATATATAATAGAATAAGATAGAGCTAAGCTTTAAAATCTTAAAATTATATATATAATTAATTATAAATTTAATTAGATCTACGCTTTTTAATTAAATTAACTAAGTTATTATAAATTAATTAATTAATATTAATAACTATTAAAAAATAATAGATATATATTATTAATATATAAAATAACTTTTTTATTTTCTATTAAGTTTTTAAGATTATTTTTTTAAATTATAAAACGAAATCTAGGCTTTTAAATAAAAAAAGAATTTTTAAATTTAGTCTTATAATTATTAAAGCGTAAGAAATTTAAATATCGCTTATTAAAGTTTACTTAACAGTTAAATAGCTCTAATTAAAAAATAATAGATTTATATTATTAATATATAAAATAACCTTTTTATTTACTATTAAATTTTTAATTTTTTTTTAAATTATAGAATAAAATGTAAGCTTTTAAATAAAAATAAATTTTCTAAATTTAGTTTTATAATTATTAAAGCGTAAGAAATTTAAATATTACTTATTAAAGATCGCTAATTAAATTTACTCGATAGCTCTAATTAAAAAAAATATATAAATTTAATCTATAGATCTTTACTCGTTATTTTATAATATAATATTATAAATATATTATCTCGTAATATATATTATTAAGATCTCGAATTTATATTAAAAAAAGATATAATATTTAATTTTATTTATATTATACTCGAGTATAATATAATATTACTTAATATAAAATATCTCGTAAAATATATTATATCTTTTCGACTAGTAGATAGAGATAAAAATAAGTTTAATAGAGATAAATAGATATTAAATATATATATCTTATTTAAAATAAAAGAGATATACTTATTATATATAAAAATTTTTTTAAAAAAAAAAAAAAAAAAATTTATAATTTTTTAAATATAAAAAAAAAAAAAAAAAAAAAATTTTTTTTAAAATTTAAAAAAAAAAAAAAAAAATTAAAAAAAAAAAAAAAAATTTTTTTAAAAATTAAAAAAAAAAAAAAAATAATAAAAAAAAAAAAAAAAAAAAAAAAAAAAAAAAAAAAAAAAAAAAAAAAAAAAAATAAAAATAAAAATTTAATTAAAAAAAAAAAAAAAAAAAAAAAAAAAAAAAAAAAAAAAAAAAAAAAAAAATAAAAAAAAAAATAAAAAAAAAAAAAAAAAAAAAAAAAAAAAAATATAAAAAAAAAATTTATTTTTTTTTTAATTTAAAGTAACTATAATTTTATTAACTTAATTTATATTTATTTAAAATAAAATTAATATATTTAATATATGCTATAAGTTCATTCGAGGTAAACTATAAGGTGGGTAAGCATATGACTAAAGCTTCACCCCTCCCGAACTTTTTTTCACCCTGAGCTGTAACCCGAAATGGATTTTCGGTGGTTGCCCTCCAAATGGGTTGCCGCAATCGGCTTCTGACAAATCCATCTGCCGTTACGACAAATTGTTGATTAAAAAGCATCCTGCAGCTTCTAACAACAGTCTGTAATAGTCAGCACAATGGCGACAAAGTATATATTCCTCCTTCTTTCCCTTGACTCTCTCTACTCTTCCCATCGTCATCATCTTCCTCCTCCCTCTATAGCCAGAACCAGCCAACATCACAATCGCCCATCATGTCGCCCAGCCTTTTCGACCCCATCCACATCGGCTCCATCCCCCTCTCCCACCGCGTCGCCATGGCACCTCTAACCCGCTACCGCGCCAACGATGCCCACGTGCACACCTCTCTCGCTACAGAATACTATGGTCAGCGGGCCTCCGTCTCTGGAACCCTCCTCATCACTGAAGCCACCTTCATCTCTCCCCGCGCCTCTGGCTACGCGAACGTGCCTGGTATATACAACAAGGATCAGATTGCGGCGTGGAAGAATGTCACGGATGCGGTTCACAAGGAGGGCAGCTATATATTCTGTCAGCTGTGGGCATTGGGACGGACGGCGAAGCCGGAGATTGTGAGGAAGGAAGCCGGCGAGAAATGGTTCGCCAGCAGCAGCAGCGTCCCTATGGAGGCTGGGACCGAGGAACCGAGAGCCCTAGACGAGGAAGACATCCGGGGCTTAGTAGGAGACTACGTGCAAGCTGCGAAGAATGCGATTGAGGCTGGGTTCGATGGCGTGGAGATCCATGGCGCCAATGGATATTTAATCGATCAATTTATACAGGATGTGGTCAACAAGAGGACGGATGCGTGGGGTGGAAGTGTGGAAAAGAGATCTAGATTTGCCCTTGAGGTTGCCAAGGCGGTCGTTGAGGCTGTCGGGAGTGAGAAGGTGGGGATCCGGTTGAGCCCCTTCAGCACATACCAGGGGATGAAGATGGCACATCCGGTACCGCAGTTCAGCCATCTGGTTGAGGGACTCAAGGAGCTGAAGCTGGGCTATCTACACTTGGTGGAGTCGCGCATTTCAGGCAACGCAGATGTTGAGACCACAGAAAGAGTTGAGCCTTTGCTGAAGATTTGGGGCAAGACGAGTCCGGTGCTTCTGGCTGGTGGGTTCCAGCCGGACAGTGCAAAGCGCGCGGTTGAGAAAGAGTATACCGGACAGGACGTCATGATTGTGTTTGGCAGACACTTCATCTCGAACCCGGACTTGCCATTTAGGATTGAGAAGGGCATAGAGCTGACGAAGTATGACCGTGACACGTTCTATAAGACCGGAAGCCCCGATGGATATGTCGACTATCCTTTCAGCAAGGAGTGGGAGGCGCAGAGCAAGCTGTAGGTGATGGCATGACAAAATGGGACTTTTCATATTACCTCCATAGACCATGGGCATAGATCAGACCATCTGTTTGGGTCGTTAAGTCCTTTTTCTGATGCGCCTTTGCACGCGAAGAAGCTTTGAATGCTACGATCCGACCACTGTCTCAATCAAAGACTTTGTCTTCATGCATTACCCCAGAATGAATGGCTTCGATGGCGGTAACAGTGCCGACATCGGCCCGGTACTGATGTGACAAAACCTAGCGTTCAAGACCGGCAGCATGATGGGCGCATTTATCATTTCACTGAGCCCCTTCGACTGAGATCACCCGAGGGTTGGGAACAAGTAGGAGTTCTTCGCGGGCTGAGACCTAGCGGAACGAGAGTCGCAACAATAAGCATGTGTTGCACTTTACTGGTGGCTATCCTCTATCCATGGGTGGTAGTACGGTCACGGTGGAGGATACGGTTATGGATAGAGAACGTAATACCGTATCACCCATCTCAAAGACAAATCTCCATCAGTAGCATATACCTTCTCGTAGATTATAGATTCTGCCCTTGAATAGATCGTCCTGCTCAGGAGAACAGAAGATCAATTACCACTGCTATCTACTACCTTTCTTGTCCCCCTTGCTACTGGTACTGCCGTACTATCATCTATCAAATCATTGCTCTCGCTGATAGCTCTTTGTTCTACAAAACCACGTCACCATCGCTTGGTCTCGCGGTCTTTTTAATTATTTACGCCCCAGTCTCGTTTAGTTTACATAATTATTAATGGGATGCTTGAACAGTCAGATGTATTGTTCTAATTCTTTTCGCCATTGATGGAAGCTTGACCATGAGGTGAATGATACAGCACTATAAGTAATGTGTACTCTTCACAGATAAATCTTTTATTCATTGGTGTATATGTCTTGTTCAAGGATTATAATACTGCACCGTTGAGGTGCAACAGATGCGTTGTCTATTGTGTAATCGCAATCGAGCTACAACTGTACAGAGCGCACTCTTCCTCACATGTTGCAAAATTGAACCAAAACTTTCAGAATAAGCCTCCAAGTGTCTGTCCAAAAGTGCGTCTGTTGCCACACTTTCTAATCCTTCCAGGCCATCAGGGTTTCTTTCTTAACGCTCCCATCTTTGGCCCGCAAATACTATACCTCAACGCCACCAGATGACAGCCTTCCTCCTGTTCAGGCGATCGCGCCTACGATACCATAGCGGTCGTGACTATTCTCCTCGCCGCCCTTGAGACACTTCAAACATCTTACTCCGCTGGAAGAGACGCGTTCCACCGGTGAGCCTTCAGTTGATCCTTCAAGTCCAAATGGCGCCACAACCTTCATAACCTCTCCTCTGCGTTCACCCGGTTTCAGATAGTCCAATGAAACGTTTGCTAGGGTCATCGAGACACGGCTGGTGAGTTTGTCAGCAGGTGTTTATTTTCGGGAGCGGCTCAGATAGCTACCTGTTGTTCTGATGCTGCTTTCTTGAGTAAAGTAAAAGGGTACCTCCAGCTTTAATCGTCAACTCTGCATTCTGGACTATGGAAAATTTGACCAGGGCAGAAGCATAAGTACTTCCTATCACCTTCGTATTCGACGCTGCTCAAGCTGTCAATGTGAAGCCAAATCTTTTTGGAATGATTGAAATGCCCTCTTTCAATCGTGTACTCGTCTCCGTAGCCTTGCGCACTAAATTTCGCCAATGAAATGCTCCCTGTGGCCTGTCGCATACACATTTCCTCCTCATCCAAGTCTTCCTCGAGGACTACTACGAACCACTTGACATATTCTTCGTCTAGTAGTTTGTGGTTCATCATAGACTGCTCGTGCCTTGCTTTCATGTCTTGGAGGGTGGATTTGCTTTCTTTTTGTAGAAACAAATTGTCTGGGATCGAGCCAGGGAGTTGAATGGTGGCTCTGGTAAGGTTTGACAAAGTTGCGAAGAGGTAAAGCACGAACTGGATGTCAAGACCGTCAGCGTGCTCGTGCCAGGGACCCATTGACATCCGAGGCTTCCCACCAGTGGACCAAGTCGCAATCTCATTTTCGATGAAGACGATAGAGACATGCTGGAGCCGCGTGATAGCTCGCAGAGCCTTGCAAAGGTCTTGGATATTTCTGAGGGTGTTCATCATATCAGTGGGGCGGTCCGGATGTGGGGGCTAGATCTCAAACCTCAGATGTGGGATGTTGGCGTAGTCGTTGCGCTGGATCTGGCGAGCTCGAACGGATGATTTGGCTAAGCCGTCAAAGCCGGCCTCTTGCCACGTGATTCTGTAGACATAGTGCTTCCGCCGTCTCAAGAGGTCCAAGACCTCTTCAGATGTTTGTTTACTGACTAGTAGGAGGGGAAGTGTGAAGTTGCTATACTCGCTAGGGAGGATATCCTCGTGTATCCGCTTGACGTCTGGACATGACGCACTTGGGAAAATATTCTTCGTACACCTGTAGGCGTAGCTCGAGAAAAAGAGCGAGGAACTTGGAGTAAAGGGTGACGGATGGAATGTTTGTTGCCATATCCGTAATTGTGAGGAACCTCGTGGATGTAATTGTATGCCGAATTTCAATCAAATGAAAAGAAGAGTTTTAGCTGGAAGTGAGGCCTGTTGTTGCTCCGGTGTTGTTGATCGGTGATTTGTGTCTTGTCTTACAGTTAGGTGCTGAAAAGATCAAGACACAAATATTGCTACTATTGATGAGTCACAGCCAATGCCCAGAACGCGTAAACAGAGTCTTACGTGATTGAGAGATCTTTCTACCTGGTCACTTTTAAAGGATTTCTCCTGCCATTTTTATATGTATACTTTAGGAGTTTAGCATCGTCCGTTAAAGCTTCCAGCCCTGTCTCAAATCCTGGAGTCAGAGTGAAATATAGTTCCACTTCTAAACAACTGATGATTGGCGAATTCGATAGGAGGCTGACGAGGTTCCGAATCACGTTCGATTGACGCATGGTTGCACCAAATTGAACTTCGTCTTCAACGGCGAAATGACAATTGCCGTCAATCCTCAGAGGAGAGCTTCTTCATCGTCGAACCATGCTTCGAACGAGAGCTTCTGAAATCTGGCAAAGACGTGGGACTCCATATGGCCAATCATCCGTCGGAGGCATAGACCTGTACACCTCTTGCATCACGAGAGCCCATTCCGCGTAGAAATTGCGTCGCCATACATTCGATCCCCCATGTATGATACCATGTACACTAGACGTGTCCGAGAAGCAGACGACATGGCAAGTTTCCATGCCACTGATCGTTTTTGTATATAAGAACGGGCGCGGCCTCGAAATCTATGGCGCGACTTGTCCGTAGGATCGTAGGATACACGCGTCCCTGCCCCTGGGTATTCCATTCCCACTCGTGCTCACGCCCCTCGGCCTTCTTTTCCAGCTCTCTTTCGTCGTTGTCTCTGTAACCCTCGCTTACAGCTTTTCTCCCTACAGTTGTATGAGGAGTGTGATTTCAAGAAGCGGTGGGATTGAAGAGATAGCGGTATACTTGTGAGCGGATCTCTGTAGACCGCGGTCAGTATTTGAGTTGGGCCAATCGGTCAATAACGTTAACAGCTCATCAGGTTAAACACAAAAAATTGGCACTTCGTACCAGCCGGGGTTTCGAGGGTGATGCCATACCTAGATGCTGGTCGAACATGGCGCCATCCTCCAGTCCCATTTCGCATTGAGGATGGCAGGCTGCCGAAACACCTCAATTGGTGCAATGCCCCAGGCTTTACAATTGCAGGTGCTGATGGGACTATGCTTCAGTACACGGTCAAACAGAAGTCTGCTAACACAATCCCATACGCGACGCGAGGCGCTAACGGCTTGGCATTCTCTATGCCCTCAAGCCCACTGTACGTTGGTAAGGGATTAGGAACAGGCGGCAGACCCAATGCATGTCTCAGCGTCTGGGAACCACGACCTAGGTATGCCACAAGCCGTTCGACCTGCTAAAAACGTATACAAAAATTGTGCTAGCTGCGCCACCAGCGCTGACAGCTCGTCCGAGCATGTCCTTACGCAAAGCCTGCCGTGCTTACTTCTCCCAGCAACGTCAATCGTACAAGTTGACCCTCTGCTTCCTCGATACATGGCCTCGTTTGGTCCAATAATGTCACAACAAATGCAACGTCGCCTTCAATGACTGCAGACTGCCTGCCTCGAATGTGCTAGCTACAAATTGCTTTCTTGCATCCTCCGTCTTCGAACTCCGTCCCAATATCCAGCAGGCTATGCACGGGGCACCAAACAGGAAAGATAATGGTTGCCATTGGCAGAACGAGGAGGGTACCCGAACGAAGATGGTAACGTCCCAACAACATAACCCAGTGTGGGATCAAGCCGGCAGCCGCAGAATCAGACACGGCTCTTACCAACAGGTTGCGCTCTTCCCTGGGTCAGACGGATCGGTTGTGGATGCGGGCACGTGCTGATGGCAATGAATCGAGCGGGCATCTGGTATCTCACATCGCCAGAAGACATCCGTGGAGGATGCAGGGTGCTGGATGGGGGATCCTGTACGATCTCATGATACGAGTCCGCCGGAGTCGTTGCCGAAGCGGGGCAGAGTCTACGTACTGCGGCTAGACAGCGACACCACCTTGACGGTGTGGTGACATTGCTTCTCAACCAATAAGGAAGCCTGTGGGATGTCGAGAGAAGGCTCCCACAAATTGTGAGGCAAAGCACAGAGGCGCACAAAGTCACCATCACAAATCGTCTTTGAAGACCATCAGAGACCACGGCTTGGTCACACTGTAATTTGCGCCACCTGCCATCCCCGCCCATAGGCGTCCTCGGAAAGCGTGGCGTGGTAGTCAGACTCTGGCGCCCGTTGAGAAGCGGAAGATCTTCCGAGGGAGCTTCGTGGTGAAAAGTCTCATCAATAGGTAAATGCTACGACATCTTGTCCACTTGGCCATTTCATCGACACACCGCCAGAATCCTGGTGAATCCATCGAGGTCAGGCCTCGAAACAATGATAGGATGGCTCTTTGGCTACAGGCTGCTCCTTAGTTGCATTTCTAGCTCCTCTGCTTGCTTACCATGCAGCGAAATCTAGGGGAGTAAAGACGGATTCCTCCGACGCGAGCGATCATGCGCTACATTGGACTTGCCAGCACCTCGCTACACGACAACCAATGGAAGCCTGTGTGGCAGTGGCCCGATCTCCGATGCTACAGTATCTTTGTGTTTTCCTTATTCCTACCGAGGACAAGCGCGGGTGGGCAGTGAGACCCTCTCCTACCGTTATCGATAGCGGGATTTATGACTTGCACTATTTCTCCGATGGCTCTTCCAATCTAGGTACTTTCTTTTTCGTCGCGTTTACTCGATTCGTTCGTCCGACATAGAAGGAGGAATAACATGCCGGCCAAAGATCTTACAATATGGTTTGGCTGGCAAAACACTACCGCCGATCTCCAAGCAAGAGAATGCACGTGCGATCTTACCACGGCGTGCTGACCGCATTATAAACATAGCTAAGAACATTTGGCAAGCTCACGATGTCAATCCCATGAGCGGATGATGCATGCCTCGCACCAGCTGCTTGGCTTTTTTGAACGTATAGGGTGGGTCCACGAGGTGCATTAGGGGCAATAAAAGATCTACAGGGTACCGGCAGCGCGTCCAGCCCAGTCAAAGAACATGCATCTTTTTCCAATTCCTGAGTTCCTTCCTCTACAAGAATAGGTCGGATGGATTGATGGTGAATTGTTGAATTGATGGAACGATGGATTGATTGATTGCTGCAGTCATGTCAATCAACGCTGTCTTGTCTCCAGCTTACTTACAGCGCCTCAAGGCGGCCAATGATGATATGCCTCGGCCCACTCATTCGCCGAACGATTCGCTACCCGTTCACACCTTTTACCGACAGTCTTTCCTCTCACATGCACTGTTGATCCCTCTGAATTCGGGACCGACTGATCTTTACAGAAGACTTGCATATTATGCTGCATATCGCAACCTTTTTTAACTGGGCAGGGAGCTACTTTAGGAAGTGGCTTTTCCTCAAGCGACAAATTGCGTCCAGAGTTGATGCGGTGCAACCCACTCTCGAGTCTTGCACCCCGCGCTTGCTGCAGGCTGCATGACATTGATTTCCCAGCGCCAACAAAGCCACCATTCAGCACCATCACCATAGCTCTTCTCGCTACTTCCAAGATGCTCATTGTACGATTCGCTGGAAGACATAATTCATGGTGCGCTTACAACTCGCCTTATCTAAACCGAATGGGCAAAGTCGCCCGACCCCACAATGCATCTGTTCTATTCTCGGACTCGGAATCTCTATCCTTCCCGCCAAGGACTAGGTCATCATGCATACTACGACCCTGTCAGCATTGGAGAGAAAGAAAGAAGAGAAAAAAAAAGCCGCACGTACACACTTTACCCGTACGTAAGGAGATGCTCGACCGCAGACGGCCCATCTTGAATTCGCCTACATCTCCGGCTAGGTTGTCACCCAGCTCACCGCACGATTCCTGTAAACAAGGCGGTCATTATTCGTTCTAAGGTTTCGATAGTCTTGCAGATACGAGCTGTCAGCCTGGTCCTTGTCTTCTTCATCCTTCTCGTCCTATGACCACCATGCCGTCTCTACCGCGACTCTCTTGCTTGGCGTGACTTGTTTACCTCTTCTCTCATATGCCTCTCGAGTGCCTTCACTTTTAGGCTTTCTTTCGCGTTGTTTTCTTGTAATTGACAGCGCACATGTGCACTTCGAATACCTTCTTAATACTATTCTAATTGTCGACTCGCCATTACACCCCGCTTTTCAAGATGCTTCGACGCCTTGCCCTGATCCTCTCCCTCTCCTCTCTCTCCTCCCTTTCTCATTCCAAACCCATTACCGCTGAGGCTGCCAACGCTGGAGCTGCGTCCAACTCAGCGGCCAGCCAAGGAAAACTCTCAACCGAGGGCTCTACAACCTACGATGGCGTCGCGCTCGCTGGGATTGAGGCGGCCCCTGCGGTCTCAGATGTCATTGCCGCCGCTATCTCCCAAGCCGGCTGGACTATCGTTGTCGACAGTCAGCAAAGTGCCAATGGTTACTTAGGGACTAACGCCATCGACGGCAACACCTCCACGTTCTGGCACTCCGAGTACTCACCAGTACTTGTACAATTGCCCCACAATGCCACCATTGATATGAAGACTGCCAGCCTCGTCGGCAGCATCACTTACCTCCCAAGACAAGATGGTCAAAGCAACGGCAGGATTGGTGAACACATTATTGAGCTCAGGTAAGCCGGAACCCTTGAATTATTTCGTAGATCAACGCTTATGTCGCTCGCGCGTATGCAGTCCCGACGGCGTCACCTATACAACAGTAGCCTTCGGGACATGGATCGATGACGCCACCCTCAAGACGACGACCTTCACCCCCTTCACCGCTCGGTATCTACGTATCATCGCCCTTTCGGAGGCCGGAAATAGAGGGCCCTGGTCCTCCGCCGCAGAAATCAACGTTTACACTGCCGCCGGTTCCGCGCCTCCGTCGCCTGTTGGGAAGGGCAAGTGGGTCATGACGGTTGATTTCCCCCTCGTGCCTGTCTCCATAGCTCATGAATGGTCCACTGGTTCGCTGCTCGCTTGGTCGTCATATACTCCCAGCTCCTTCGGGGGCTCCCCAGGCACAACCACCTACACTGCAACCTTCAATCCTGCTACAGATCTTGTTACACAAGCCGTAATCACCAACGTGGATCATGACATGTTTTGCGAAGGACTGTCGTTGGACTTCACTGGACGGATTATTGCTACTGGGGGGAAACACTGATGCGGCCACGAGTTCTTATGACCCTACGGCCAGTGATTGGACTGCTCAAGCAGTAAGTTTTTGCTCCCCGGCTAAGGCCTATAGGGTTACAGACGTTACAAATGGGAAACCCTCGCTAAGTTCTAATGTCTCCAGGCCCTGAACATTCCCCGCGGCTATCAAGCCCAAGTGACTACCTCCACCGGCACACTGTTCACGATAGGAGCATCATGGAGTGGAGGCCAGGGTGGCAAGAACGGCGAGCTCTACAGCACTAGTGCCAACACCTGGACCGAACTTTCTGGTTGCCCGGTTGCGCCTATCCTCACAGCCGACGCGCAAGGTATGCATAACTTTCCTTCGTCTGGTCCTAGCGATGGCCGACGACGATGTAAGCATGCTGACGCTTGATTTCTAGGCGTCTATCGCGCTGATAACCATGCCTGGCTTTTCGCCTGGAGTTCCGCCTATGTCTTCCAAGCTGGTCCCTCACAGGCCATGAACTGGTTTCTCACCACCGGAACGGGGTCCCAAACTGGAGTTGGGACCCGAGCATCGGATACCGACTCCATGTGTGGCAACGCCGTCATGTATGATGCGGTTGCCGGGAAAATCCTCACCGTTGGTGGATCACCGGACTACCAAGATTCCAACTCCACCGGCAACGCCCACGTCATCACGCTCGGCACCCCGCCCGCGACTCCCACCGTTCAAACCATCGGCTCCATGGCCTACGCGCGTGCCTTTGCCAATTCTGTCATCCTCCCCGACGGCACCGTCTTTGTCACCGGTGGCCAAGTCTCGGCTGTTCCCTTCTCGGACGCCACGTCCCAGTATATCCCCGAACTCTTCAATCCGGCCAGCAACACCTTCACCCAAATGGCGCCTGCCTCCATCCCCCGCAACTACCACTCCGTTGCGATTCTTCTCTTCGACGGGACCGTGGGCAACGGGGGGGGCGGTCTCTGCGGCACCTGCGCCACGAATCACTTCGACATGCAGATTTGGAATCCGCCATACCTCTACACCAGCTCCGGCGGCCTCGCCACCCGTCCCGTGATCAACAGCATTTCGGCGGCCAGCGTCGCCGTCGGCAAGACTTTCTCCATCACGACCAACGTGGCATGCTCCGCGTTCAGTATGATCCGCATGACCAGTACGACGCATACGGTCAACACGGACCAGAGGAGGATTGCCTTGACGGCGGGGACGACGGCCGGGACCACGTACACGTTTACGGTGCCCAAGGATCCGGGGGTGGCGGTGCCGGGGCACTGGATGGTGTTTGCGCTGGCGGGTGGAGTCCCTGCGGTGAGCAAGCAGCTGCAGGTCACACTGACGTAGCGTGCAGCACGGGATGGATGGGAGGGTCGACTTCGGCGAGATGAGGGATGTGGGATGCGGGATGACATGAACGCTGCACTGCTCGTTACGAGAGCCAGCTGATAATTGTGATAATTGTAATTCCCGATAGCTAAATAATGCCATGATTGACCCTCTCCCGCCGCTTATTCTGCAGCCGGGGTTTCCCAGCTCAACAAATGGAAGGGTCTAAAAGCCAAAGGTCGCCTTTTAGCGAAGCTAAAGTATCTTACCTTAGCTTAGGTACAGGTCATTGCCTAGTGCGGATGGTAGCGGGATGACATGCATGAGCCGGGTTCACGTGGGGGGGCATGACTGGGCTGGACCCTCGTCTAATTTTTGACGAAGGAGCCTCTACTAGATGCATTAAAGCTTCTTGGCATTTTAGAGTAAGTAAGTACTTTAGGTCACCGATTATTGAGGTCCCTACGGTAGGTACCTAGAACAAGTCATTAGCATCACCAGTGAAGCTCCGAAACATCTTCCCTCTAGGCCTCACCGAGCCGATTGCATGCTGAGGCCGAAAACCGGTTTTCAGCTTCGTGATCTTTATCTTTTGGGGCCTTCAACCGGTTGAGGTTGGTTTCGCCTGCTGGAAAACGTGGTGCCTCTGCGTGGCATGACATTTCCTCCAGTCTCTTATTTGGCCTTGGATCTATCTCTTACTGTCTTTTATCTACCGACTTAATGGTTTGGGTTTGAGATTCTGACGATCAGTCCTACAGGCTACCTTGATCTGAAGATCCCAATAACTTATTTAATTTTATTGATTGAGAAGGGTAAGAAGTGTTTTGCCATTTGTTTTGTTTTTTTTTTTCCAGCGACTTAAATATATAAGTCATTTTTAATCGGAAATTAAACGCGCAGTCTAACCCGCCTTTCCTTGACTAAGAAGGAAGGAAGGAAGGAAGGAAGGAAGGAAGGTAGGAAGGAAATCATGTAATGCGGTGTACGAAGGTATGCGAGGCAAATGCAATGTCATGATTGAAAAAAGATCCATAATTCCATCTCTGTCGTAATGCATAAAAGTAATGCATCATGGAAAGTTTAACGGAAATTTAAGAGAAAGGTTTGAACGTACCGAGTAGAAAAGTACTTTTTTGATAAATAAGGCAGTGGTCATGCGGGCTGTGAGCCTGTGCCATGGGCGCCATGCGGCTAGGCTCTCTTGGGAAGACCGATCCGCGCCCTCGGGATTGTTTTGTGGATCATCTTGCCCATGTGTGGGCCTGTTGCCCACGGGTGTGGTGCCTGCGTGAAGTATTGATCATCCGATGAACACATTTTTACTTTACTTTACTATACTTTACGTATGCGCCACTTAAAATAACTTAGCCAGCTCTCCCTCATAACCGCACTGGGTCCTTCCCGGTGTCGGCCCTTCGGCTTCGTTCCGTCGTTCTTCTGGTAATGATCTGCCATCTTCTCGCTCGAGAGAGAGCAAGATCGGAGATGCCCCCGTGGGAAGACTTGGAACATCTACCGTAGTACCTTAGCTCTTCTCCACTGGCCGATAGGAACCGTCGACGACGTTGCGGCTTGCAGGACGCAATGCGAACGCCTATTCCTGCAAGAGTGTTGTCATGATGGCATTTCACGCGGATGGCGTATTCCCCGTTCAACATCCCACGTGCAGCTGGCTGGGCGTGGTACAAGATTTCAATTTCGGGGCTGCAGATGGAGGAGGAGGAGGAAGATCTCGCGAGGCCGAGGACGTCCAGTGGGGAATGCGGTCCTGGCCGCTGATAGTAGTGCGGCTCAACGCTGCATGTGGCTGCACGGTGGATCAAGTGCAAGGAAGATCATCCGAAAGTGTCAGATGATCTGCACAACTCTTCCCATGCGATTGTGAAAGCTTGATTGTTCGTCGCTCCTATCTACATCCGGCTGTGGCGGAAGGGGATACTGGAATCTTAGAAAGCGGCCTCCTTCGACTAGGATGAGGAAGGAGTCTAGATTCTATGTATCGCTTCCACTTCTATATTTCCTCCATTCTACAAATTAACACTTTCGAGACTTTGTAGAGCTCAAGCATCATCACAAGACAGATCCCTTCAAGCTTGTCATCCGTCTATTGCTACACTTTCTCAGACTTTTGTGGCTTGGTCTTTATCGGGCCTAGATCAAGCACAACAAAATCACTGACAGTAACGGCGCTTTATTAGATATGGCAATCACAACGTGCAATCCCGAACTCTGTCTGCGTGGAGAATCATCCGCTTTGTCCGCAAGCCACTTCGGCTTCTCGGTCCGGTTCTATCGCAGATTACACCACAGCTGCTTATGGTTCCTTGAGCCAAAACCATACACCAGAGGTCGGAATGAATGGATGTCGTTATAATTTATAGTCCGCAGCGCAATCATACGGGCGAACAACGGAAGGGAAGAGCAGAGAGGGAGAGCGTGGAAACGGCGAAGCTGAGCTAACTTCCTGTGCTGCTTACGACGTAGAAAACGCTCACAACATGACTCCGATCGACAACTCGACATTCAGGCCGCAGGCTTTCTGGATACAGAAAGCGACAAGGTGAGCGTAGAAAGCAAGTACTTATTTGAAGCTTCTGAGAAACCCTCTTGCACAGATGGTTTTTCCTCAGTTATCCGCATTAGAACTCAAACTTGCGCAGCGGTTTGAACATTGCTCGATGACATGACTCTATACGAAATAATGCCTTTGTTCATCTTTCATGGCTATGCATGGGTCCTTGCAATTACTTTCTACCTGATACTTTCCCCTTGGACAATCATTCTCCACTCGCATACGTTATCCAAAGCGTACTCCACAACGGTCATGATGCCTTACCAGCACACCGCGTTCGCGATCTTGACACTGTTTGCCCACCTTGGCCTAGCAGTCACACCGGTGGCAATACCCCAAGACAACAAGATAGATGGCTACGTCGGATACATGCCCACACCACCGACCAGCGACTGGTTGACAACGACATACTGCTACTGCTCCCAACCGCACCATCTGCAGGCGCCCGCCTTCGACGAGGGCTCCTTCTTCCAATGGGAATACTACAACTACCACCAAAACGCCACCTTCGTCATGCACCGCCGCTGTCAAGCCAACCACGCGGAGACGAGGACGTGCGTCAACTCCAAACACGTGCACTGCGACCTCGCCGTCGACGGCGATTGCGAGGGCAACATGCTCTGTACCTCCTGGCCCCGAGCGCGTGCGCTCGGGGAGAGGGACGCTGGGGTTGTGGAGAAGGATCACTGGTGCATGTCGCTGGATGATCGGGGCTTCTTGGGCGTGAGTGACAGTATCATCTGGAACGCCCAGGAGAGGGGTTTGACGCGGAAGGGCGGGCAGGGGCGCAGTGGGACGTCGGACGGGGAGGTCGAGGCGGTTTGCGGGGGGCTGTGCCGGGAACGGGTGGGGATGCCGATGTTGAAGGGGGGATCAGAACGCTAGGAGCCATCAGGAAGGTCTTTGAGGATTTGGACGACATGTGCGATACTTGTCGCAGATAGAGCGTCTGGATTAATATCACTCCGGAAGGTAAGGTTCTTCACGTGTCGAGAGGTCTTTGAACCGCCGTCTTCTCGTATCAATCATTTCACTCCAACCCATGCTTCCTCTACCGAATCCGCGTCACGGACGCGTCTTCAGCCGCGACTCCTATATATACACTTCCACTATCCTACGTCCATCATCGACACCATCCATCCGAAACAAAAACGAATGGCCCCGTCGGAAGTGTAAACAAAAAGCGCACATCTCGAACATGCCTGCCTGCCCGCCCGCCTTCCACCCATCCCCGCCAATCCGTCATTAATCCAGACCAGCGCCCCCCTCGCACCAGAACCCACTCCTCGCCCCATCATCATCATCATCTCGCACCTGTCCCGTCTCGACCCACAGCCTCCATAAGGTGGAGACACCGACGACCGAAGCCACGACCCCGACCCCAGACCCGACCCCATCCCCATCCCCATCCCCATCGCTACACCGCCGCTCAGCCCTCCCCCCCCTCCCCTCCCCCTCCCCCTCCCTCCCAATCCCACCCAACCCATCACCCCAAACGACCAACAACCCTCTCCCTAGCACCCACCCACCCACCCACCCAGCCTTATTCCCGCCCACCCGTGTCCCGCCCGAACCACATCCGCGCCGGAACCGGACGTCTGTTCTGTTCTGTTCTTTTCTTTCTTTCCCACGGGCGAGTTTGTGTAGTACGCGAACCGAACGGACGAGTCGAGGGCAGGTGCGATTTTTTTTGGTTCTCTCCGGGGTTACACCCTCGAACGACGGTTGCGGGATGGTGTTGGGGCCGGGTTTAGGGGCGGGGAGTGGGATTTGGGGCGGGATGTGGTTTGGGTCGGTGGGGGGGGGGGGAGGGAGGGAGGGGGGAGGGAGGGAGGGGGGGGGGGGGGAGGGAGGGGGGAGGGAGGGGGAGGGAGGGAGGGAGGGGGAGGGAGGGAGGGGGGGAGGGAGTGGGAGTGTGGTTGTTGGGGGTTGGGGGGGGAGGGTGGGGTGGGGGTGTTGGTGTTAGGTGTTGGGTGGTGTTGGTTGTGGGGGATGGGGGGGGGGGAATGAGGATTTTTCTTACTTTGTTAGTTAGTTATTTATTTATTTACTTAGTTACTTACCTACCTACAGCAGTGGGATCGCGATCGTCTCTTTGAACGAGCAATGGACAGACCGTGTCTGAAAGACCACCTTTCGACGAGCAGGACGCACAACCGAGATCGTGTCCCCGGATGCCGTCCCGTTGAGATCCGGAGCTGGCTCACCGCGGGCTGGAAGAGAGGTGTGTTGCGCTTGGCCGGTCGAGGACTGCAAGGCTCGTTCAGCCCCGAGGTAAGAGTGTGGAGTTGACCGATCGTTTTGCAGAATGGGGCTGCGCACGGACGGTGGCACGTATCCCGGTTTGCGTGCGGAGCACCATGCGGTGAGCTGGGGCTACGGTTCAATCCGACTGACGTTTATTCGCTGTGGCGCCGGCTTTGGTGCCTGGGCTGAAAGCAGTCCGGTATTTGGAGTTGTTGATTGTGGGATTCTAGAGATCGTGATCGAGCTGAGAAGCACGGGGTTTGATCCTGTGATTTTAGGGTCGGTTCGGGGTCTTTTGAGAGAATACTCTGTGAGAGGAAATGGGCTCTGCGGGGAGTTTCCTACCAGTCTTGTCATGCTGGCGAGCAAAAGCCCAGATACGATGCATGCCCATGTACTAGGTAGGTGGGCTTTTCATTTGACCTTCTTCTCCGTCCTGTTAAGCTAAGCTAAGCCATCATTCCTGCGTGCCCTCTTCGTCTAGATTCAGGGAAAGGTTGCTCAGCTTTGATGTCAGCGCAGTTGCCCCAAGATCCTACATTGAAACAACCCTCATAGACCAGCAGCATGTGAAAATGTCTCCGATCTCAGCTTCCGGTAATCCCACTTATGTCCACGTTGAAAGTTCGTGGGGGTCCGATTTCAAAGCCTGGAAGCTTCTCTGCTGGTTTCACTACTAGGAGTCCGTAAGTCTCATGATCGCTGTAGTATCTGACCCCCGAGGCAGCCTCGTTGGCTTGAGACTCGTCAAATTCCCCCAAGATCCGCGCCGTGATGAGATAAGCGAGAGTCTTGTTGATGACCGTGTGGTAGCGGTGGATCGAACCGCAAATCACATCGCAGAAGCTTTGAAGGAGCCCTCGAGATCCGCGTGCATCTTGACGCATCGCTGAATCAATTCAATACTTTCCCGAACAAGAGAAATCATTTCAAGCTCTTTCGAGGTCTCGTTCAAAGTGATAGGAGAATATAAATTCTTTAGCTTGAGTGAGTCTTCATTCGCCAGAGCCTCCAGAGTGGATTCAAAGGGCTCCAGGACGCGAAAGTGCCACCCCAAAACCTTCAACTATTCTGCTATCCTGCTATTGTAGCGCGCTTTGTCCAAGAGGTGAGAGTAGAAGAGAACCTTTTCTCGTCGTTTCAAGCAGCTCATCACCAAAGATAGAGATTATCGAAGAAAGGGGGAGGACGAAGATTTGTGAAGGGAAGCTGGTACGGTTTTGGTTTAGAGAGGCCTCGATGATAACGAATCCAGTGCACATGCTGAGCGCTGGAGCGGTAGGACCGAGCAATCTGGAAGGTACATTCACCAGCTGTAGGACTATCGTCGCCAGCAACAGTCCCTTATACATGTACTCGAAGGAACGATGAGGAGGTACGGTGGATGTTGTAAGTGATGAAACGACAGATCCGTGTGTTAGAGGGGTGAAAGCCCGGTGGAATGATGTATAAGAGGTCTAAGGCAGCCTACTTGATGTAGGATGATGTTTTGGTAGGAGGAAAGTGTGGCCGTAGAAGGTCCTTTGCGTATCATTGGCGCCGAGGTGATAGCATACGGATTCTAAGACCCCCTGCATAAGGACTATCAGGTCCAATGAACCCAGCCGAATGCCAATGGAATCCAACGTTCTGGTTCGTCACGGGCGATCCCAGCAGATGACGACTCTTTCCATAGAGCTGATCGCTGCAACTCGGTGCCTTGCAACAACAGTGCGTGCTTTCCAGACCCGTGATCGGGTCTCCTGCCTCTCCCAATCGTAACAGACGCTGAGCTCTTCACCTTTTTGGTATTTAGATTGGCATGTATTTCCTAGAGCCGTTCGATCTGCCGCGGTTAATGCAACGCACGATGCTGATTGAGATTCACATACCCTCATTGCTGACTTGCTTCTAGACTTCGTAACCATGGTCGTCTCTGTTGCTGAAGATTTCAGCGAATTCGTCATCATCGGTTGCATCTATACAAACAACATCCTTGCTGAATTACGTCAAATGTTTACCACTGCTGCACAGCGGAGGAAAATCCCGGGCCGATCTCGAGGAGCAGCACTCTAAGAGACATATTTGTAAGGAAGCACTTGAACGACGATTTCGCAGATGCCTGATTACATTTATGGAGGAACAAGAGAGTAGACGATTGGACGGGTCCGTGAAAGGTAGCAGAAGCAGAAGCATAAGCAGAGGCGGAAAACGTGGGGTCCGCAATAGCTTCTTTAAGGCAAGAGTACCCTCGGATGCTGAGATCATTACTTGCGAAGAACCATTCACAAGCGATCAATGTCAATGCTGAAGGGCATCTTGAGAAATAAGGTCACTGAGAGAAGGTCGTTCGCAACCGTGAATAAAATTGAGGGTGTGCATTCCCATATCGGTTCGACGGACTGGTGAAAGATAACGATGCCTCGCATAGGATTTGAAAACAATTTTATAGGACGTATACTTGATATGTACGTGCATTCTGATTTGGCTGAAGTTGAAGGGCGCACAACTATGCTGCTGTGGACGTGGAAGGTGAGGGAAAATGGAGATATTGGGTTGAGAGGAAGCCCAAACAGGTTCCGAAATTCTTGAGATATGACTGAGCCAACAGATGAAGTAAACATTCTCAGGTGGATCAGCCGCTCGACAGCTCAGCCGAGAAACAGTCTCAGCCTGATCCATTACATGCCGCGCGACGCAAGGACACCGATCTCCCATAGTCGTTCTCAAGAGAATCCCGGAAACATGCACTGTTTTCAACTGGTGGTGATATCAAATGTTTAAATCACGCTTGACGTTAGTGCTAGCTATGGGGAAAGCTAGAGACTCTTGAAGCCTCAAACAGTGGCTATCTTGGAACGTCCACCTAGGATATTGATGTTCTATGTTTTTGGACGACGTAGGCAGAAAGAGGATTGACGGAATGGGTTACATTCCTAAGAGAGAACGCCCAACTCTTCTGTCCAGGTAAATTTCGCAATCTTGTATGACACCTATTAAAATCCACATAATGAAGTGGCCATGTGTGCCACTCTTTGTTACAGTCTTCTAGTCGTATGCCGTGCGTTGAGGCTAGAGGTAGATGATGGGCGTCCATGGGAAGACTGCAAGTTGCGTGATGTCAGTGCATGTGCGGCACCATTGGAGTGAAGATGAAGGTCAAATTAAAGGCGCCTTACCTTAAGCATGGGCATGCATCGAATCTGGGCTTTGCTCGAGGTTCCCTGATATGTCAATCAGTGTAGTCTGGAAGCCTGCCAGGGCAAGGCAATGCGACTGATGGTTAGGCTCCGACACGTTCATAGATGGGATTGTGGTCGTGAGCAAGGAGACTGATGGCAAGATTCATGCAAGTAGCGGACTTGACGCAGGATTAAAGATGCAAGAAGTCTCGGGTAGGACGAAGCCTTGATATAGTCTTCTCTGGAGAGGTGTGTCTCATGGACGGGTTCTGATGAAGCAGGGGCCAATGTAGGCCTATTGTTGAGCTTTTAAAGTCAACATAGGCTCCATTGCAAAAGACGATGCCATTAATTGAGATGCAAGCATCAGCTATACCTGTGAGCAACAGTGACGGTAACGATGTAAGCTCAAAAAGCAATGTTGAGACTAAGAATTAACCCTAACCCTACTTTGCCAGCCCTGCACCAAATGATTTTGATTCGTTCGTATTGATAGATATAGGCACCGTGGCACCTTGATATATAACTGTCAGTCTCGGCACGTTTGTTCTCATCACCCTTTTCATCCTCGCCCATCCTTACTTTTATCTGATTCCAGTGGCAGTCTCCTACGAATTACTTCCATGATGACTAATCAGGTAAGCTACATACCCGACAGGCTACAGCCAATACCAATATCTGCCGTCACCGGTTGACCTTGGGTGCATAAGTACCACTCCTCTTCGGTGAATAGCCAATACCTATCGTTTTAATAGCCTGACGGATTATGACTTCACCATGCATCATTTGCCAAAGTGTGATGCAGAGCGAGCACATTGTCTCGTTGTCTCTCGGACTCGGGTTGAAACAGCAAAATCCGTCCCCGAGGATCCCAACCGCCTTCCATACATGACTTGACCGCTCTTTCTCCTCGGCTCTATAAAATTATTCGATCAGTCTCAAGGCTGTCATCAAGCCAATCTATCCTTCATCACCAACTTGACCCATATATCCTGAAACCGCCATGTCAGAAGTTATTCTCTATGACATTCCGAGCAAAGATCCCCGCCATTGCTGGTCATTGAATCCTTGGAAAAGTTCGTTACATGCCATGACTCTCATCGCTATAAAAAATCTGAAGAATACTGACCAGTGTGACAGCCCGGCTCATTCTCAATTTCAAAGGCATACCCTACAAGACCGAATGGCTCGAGTATCCTGACATTGCGCCGACTCTCAAGTCATTCGGAATTCCTCCCAGCGAGCCACCTTGTACAGCCTATACTAGCCCCACCATACGTATCTCAGACAAGTATGTTATGGACTCTCGGAAGATTGCCGACGTGCTGGAGAAGGAATATCCCTCCCCCTCGCTACATCTAGATTCGCCCATACTGAAGAAAGTGGAAGAGCTTGCACCACAGTGCATCACGGCACTTGTACCAGTCTACATTCCTAGAGCTCCACGATACGTGCTCAACCCTCCGTCCGCGGAGTACTTTGATCGTACGCGGGCGGCAAGGTTTGGCATGCCTCTATCACAATTGGAGAATGAGAAGGGCGGCGAGAGCGCATGGAAGATCGCGGAGCCGAAGTGGAAGGAGCTGGGAACTTTGTTGAAGGCTGAGGGAGGGCCTTTCTTCATGGGCAAGACAGGTATGCACATCGGAAGCCTTCTTACCTTCCAGAGAGCTTGGACCATGAGTGCTGACCACCATGACAGTGTCATATGCAGACATGATTGTTGTTGGTGCATTGCACTTTTCTACAATGCTCGGTGACGATGAAGTGTTTCAGCGGCTGAAAACCATAGAACCAGCCTTCTTGACGCTTTACGATGCTTCAAAAGCTTGGCTTGAGCGAGATGACCACTAGGCAGCTTTACAATGGGGAAGTATAGTTAATGGCCTCCGACTGCGGCTCCCTAGTCAGTCCACAATAAAGCCTCGGTCTGAAATTTGCTATTTCTGAATTGTGAGCTATACTGTGCGTCGCCAATTCTCTACTGCTAGCAGCAATTCACAATGACATCGACCTACAAGCCATTGTCTTTACATCAGCAAATAGTATAGAGTGTTGCCGAATGAATAATTCACTTCTGACGCGCCAGGGAGTCTGAAAAGCGCCTAGCATTTTGCCTCTGCACTTGCCAGACGATATTGTCTGCAGGATTTATAGGCCAGCTTGGCTAATGCTTGGCTATCACTATGGAGCCTGCACCACCGACAGCCCTTTGTCAAATTTTATCTCTCGGCTCGGCCTCTATCCAAAAAAAATTGCCTGCTACACAAAAAAAGGTCTTGGGTTAGGGGAGGCATGGAGGTTTGTAATTGTCGGATATCAGGTCCACAAATCTTTTAGTGCAGGAAGAGGCCCCGAAGGGATCATGGCTTGGGATGTCATGAGTAAGATACGTGTCGCACCGAAACTTTACTTCCCCCGCTTCGCAGTAAATGAGAATCACTTAGAAATCCCGCCAAGTCTTCGCGGGATGATTCCGTGGTATTCCCGATACGAGGCAGTTTGGATAGACCTTAAACAGAGAAAAGTAGTGTCCGCACCCTAAGAGCGCCATTAACCCACTCTGACAGATCCGCATACAATGTGTCTTTTTTTCCTTATCTCAACGTCGAAGATGTGGGCACCGCCCAAGCGTTGCTCCTCATTCTCCATTCTCGTAGGCACCATTTGCCGGGAGGGTCCGCCGACGTTGATTTCGAATCCATGCGTTCTGGGGTTTCAAGCGGATCATTTCAAGACGGTCTGATGCCCCGTTACATCGAGTTTTTGAATTGGACAAAAGACTCTCAAAACGTATGGCGAAGTGCTGTCTCTCGATGAAATTAGACAGAAGGAAGCCCCCGAGCTGAACCGTGCCATTGGCATCGCTCCAGGCGAAGGTCTTTTAGTGTGGGAGGTCCAGGAGAAGCTGCTTCGATTCTCGATCACCTTACTAGTCTTACTCTTCACGATTTACTATAGACGATCCAGGTACTCCCGATCCACCATCACCTCGTAGTCTTGCACCTAGTGAAGCTGAATTTGAATGGCTATCAATGTGTCCTGCAAAGCCGGAAGCTAATTATCGCGCGCCGTGTCAACAATTCCGACCTCGATAAGACGCCAGAAATCCTAGTGAGCAAGCTGGCGTACAAGGTCTTTGCCACCCTCTCTCGCTCAACCAGAGAGGATAGAGTAGCCGCGGAGAGTCCGTGGCTGGACTTCCTCCATGCAATGTTCTCCGTGTGCCTTTCAGTCGAGAAATTGCATGGCTTAGCATGGGTGCTTGCTCCCAGAGACGACGGATTTAGGCGTAGTATCGTCTTTCAAGAACCACGTCCTTGCAGCATTACCCCTTTTTGGATGGCAAGGCGGTACGGCGTTTTGTGCGGGCTTTTGGGTGGAGCGCGGATCATTTTGTGAGGCAGTGAGTGGAGAGGTGTTGGTTGGAAAGGTGGGAAACTTGTACTTGATAATGTAGCAATACTTGTGTATTGTCGGCCACTGATACTGAACAGTATCAGGAACCTCAATACGCAAATTGCGTTGTGAAAGACCCTCCAGTAAGGATGAAGCCAGCAATTACACTAGAAAGTTGCTGCGGCAATAGATGACCGCTTCCGCATCTTGAGATGACGATAAATCTTTGACAAAGACGAAAACGCTGACTGCTCTTTGACACAAATTTGCTTGTAACTCCATCTCCCCTTTCATACCCCCCTTTGTAACAAGTCTCAATCTTCGTTCATTGACAGCGCCAACATGGTGAGGCGATGCGACGCGATGCTATGCAATACACTGACGATACCGCATTGGTATCACGCCTATGCCGAGGCCTGTTGATGCTTGGGACATTGGAGAGCATGGCCTTTGGGAGGCTTTTGATCAATGGAGTAGAGCTAGACCCCTTTGCGTCGCGGGAAGAGCTGGCGCTGATCAACTGAGTCCCCTCGACTAAAGTCTCGCAACACGAGCTGTTATAAGGAAAGCTTCGCTTAGAAACCCCCACAAATGACAACGCGTTCGATCTGTTGTACTCACGAGGCAATAATAATACGACTCTCCCAGATGATTGGGTGTTCGAGCGACAAGACCTGGCGACTTCGGAGACTTGTAAAGTGCCTGAAGAGGCTTTTTAGAGAGCGGCACTGTTAGTTGATGTCGTGTTGGGACTTCATGAGCGAGTCGAGCCTCGAATTATCGGTGTACCGCACGATTTGTCAAGCAAAGCTGGCCCCAACTTTCCAACCAATTTGTCGTCTCCATCAACTCGGGATTCGACCACCAACCACCAACGTCTTTTCGCAATGCCCGCCAGCAGGGTCTGGGACCCTCGGACTCTGAGTAAAGTATATTTAAAGTAATCTTATCAGCGACGCCGATCGTCTACAGTAATGTACATAACCCCAGATTTCGAGGAGTATAAATTGTATAGTCAAACCAATGGTATGGATCAGCCTGGTCCGCCTCCGCATTATTTCAAAATTAATCCCATGAGAGCCCCAGCTGTTTCAGCTACCTATCCGTGTCCCAGCCAACCGTGCCAACCCCCTTGACCAACAAGTGTAGCAGAGGAAAGGCAGCTCGAAAGGCTTGTTGGAGACGTCATTTCGTGTTGCAAGTCGAGGCTAAGGTAGAGCTTTCAGTTTCACACATAAAGCTGCAGGATCTGTGAAAACCGCCCAAGTTCGCCCCTACAAAGTCCGTGCCGCACATGGTGAGTATCATGGTCAGTATTGGGGATAGAATACGAAACTTGCTTGAAGAGCTGGCCGTAAACTTACCGTCATGTTGGCCTTGTTGGGGTATGATTAGGCCCCCAATGGCTAATGCGGTAATTCAGCCCGCAGTTTGAGTGGGTGAATCGATACAGGAGTGCAATAATACCTAGTATCATCATCCGCCTATGAAAACGCTTGCCGAATACCGTTCTGAGGCACAATCAGAGGCTGCCAGAAAGTCGCCTTGGGTGACGTAGTGACATTGTGACCAATAAAAAGCACGTGCCACACACAATTAGTAGTGCCAAGACAATTAGGGAAATGGCCATTTACCTTCGACAATCCTCGCAATTCTCTCCAATCCTTCCCGCTCAGGCTGACACCAACACGCAGGCGTGTCAGTTATAATAAATCACACCCTTCCCCGCCTTTCCATTTCTTTATCTTTGTCTCCCTCCTTTGCTCTTCAAAGATCAAGGTACTTAGCCATCACTGCGGTCACTGCGGTGTGGGTGAGTAGTCGTCCTTGCTCTAGTGATCTTACGGTCGGTCATTTATTGAGCTCGGTGACCCCCGCCTTTTGAAAGCTGCAGACAATCCCACAACCCTTCCAACCGTTTGCCAGCATCTACGCCATCAAACGCATCCTTATACCCTGGCAATCTTATCACATACCTCAACACGGCAGTAGCCGGCGCATTTCACCATGCCTCAAGTCGCTCACTTCCCCACCAATGACAGCCAGCTGGCCCACACGGCCACTGACCGTGCCGGCGATACTTCCTCAGACTCATCCAACGCCAAGGCTGAAGCCTATGGCGATGAACATGTCGCGCGGAGCAACATCAACGAAAAGCAAGCGCCAATCCCTTCAACGCAGGGTCGAGTACTGGACGATGGCAGAATCGAAATCACCGAGGAGGATTGTTACGACGAGCTCGGCTTCAGCTTTCCATCATGGAAGAAGTGGACCATCCTATCCATCATTTTTGCCGTCCAAGTATCTATGAACTTCAACACCAGTCTATACTCCAATGCCATCAAGGGTATCTCGAAAGAGTTCGACGTCAGCGTACAGGGCGCTCGATGCGGTGCCATGATTTTCCTCGTTCTATACGCTTTCGGTTGTGAGCTCTGGGCACCGTGGTCCGAAGAGTTCGGACGCAAGCCGATTTTACAACTCAGTTTGCTCTTGGTCAATATTTGGCAGCTACCTGTCGCTCTGGCACCCAACTTTACCTCCGTCATGGTCGGTCGAGCTCTTGGCGGTCTTTCTTCCGCCGGAGGTTCCGTCACCTTAGGAATGATTGCAGATATGTGGGAATCGGACAACCAGCAGTATGCTGTCGCCTTTGTCGTCTTCTCATCTGTTGGTGGTTCAGTCCTCGGCCCCGTCGTGGGTGGATTCTCCGAGAAATTCCTCGACTGGCGCTGGAGTATTTGGATCCAAGTATGCTAATCCATCTTCCTCCGCCTTGTCACTGAGCCTTACTAACCTGGATGTAGCTGATCTTCGGCGGCGCCGTTCAACTCGCTCACCTGATCTTCGTCCCCGAGACCAGAGTTACCATCATGATGGACAGGATCGCCAAGAAGCGACGCAAGGACGGCACAAACCCCAACCTCTACGGGCCCAATGAAATTACGCCCTTCAAGGAGCGATTCTCTTTCAAAGAGGTCATCATCACCTGGATCCGTCCCTTCAAAATGTTTCTCACCGAACCCATCGTCCTCACCCTCTCCCTCCTCTCCGGATTCAGCGATGCCCTCATCTTCATGTTCATCCAATCCTTCTCCCTCGTCTACACCCAATATAATTGGGGTACCATCGCCCAGGGTCTCTCCTTCATCCCAATCTTAGTCGGCTACCTGCTCGCTTACCTTATGTTCATCCCAGCCATCCGGCGAAACAAGAAAGACCGCGAACAACACCCTGATGATGAAAAATCTCAGTACGAGTCCCGACTTTGGTGGCTCCTCTTCACAGCACCCTGCCTCCCAATCGGCCTCATCGGATTCGCATGGTGCTCCGGAGGTCCACCTATACCATGGATTGCATCTAGCATCTTCGCCGCCGTCGTGGGTATCGCAAACTACAGCATTTACATGGCAACCATTGATTACATGATTTGCGCTTACGGTCCTTACTCCGCATCCGCTACTGGTGGAAATGGCTGGTCTCGTGATTTCCTTGCTGGTGTACTCACGATCCCCGCGACGCCCTTCTTTACGAACATCGGTGGAAAGCAACATCTACAAATCGCCTCTACAATCCTCTTCGCCATCTCCTTCGTGCTCGTCCTCGCCGTCTACGCTATCTACTGGTACGGTCCCACCCTGAGATCACGCTCGCCATTCGCGCAGCAGCTTCAACAAGGGAGAGAAGAGAATGGTGGCAGGAGGGTCTCGGTGATCCCTGGTCCTGGTTACGGATCCCAGCCTGGGTCGAGGGGACACAGTGCAGCGAACAGCAGGATGGGAAGCAGGCAGCCTAGTTATGCCCATTCGAAGCCTGCGGCACCGGGTATGGGGAACAGGGACAGCAGCTATGTGCACAAAAGACTTGCAAAGATGAAGAATGAACAGGAGGCCCTTTAAGGCGTTTGATGATGAACGGAAGGGGTGCGAGCTGGTGACGGAGAGTGGAGCCTTTGGGTGTGAATACTTGTGATGCGAGAAGTTCACGGCCTTTGCGCATATCACTATGGATTGGAAATATAGCAGTCTGTCGCAGTCCATAGTGAGAATCAATGCATCACTTGTTGACCTGAACAATCAGACATCGTGAAACCACGCATGCTTGATTAGATATTGGACCTGGGACTATCCCGCCGCCTCTGGTACACCCCACGCCTGGACCTCAGACATTACTTACAGCTGCAACGCATGGGAGCAGTCTGTCAAGAGAAACAGCAGAGTTCGAAGTGCGCGGACCAGCTAGCTGTAAGCATCACCCCAGCCATGATGAACCGTGCTCGATGGCTGTCTTCTCGAATCGAACGCTCTGCTTGAGAGCGAATATGGACTTCGTGTATGCAAACGAATGAACCTGTGCTGGATGAAATGGATGCTGTATCATCGCCCTCTTGCATCCCTGCGGGCTGTCCTCCCCGTGGCGACTTTCAGACCACGAACAGTTGCCGTGTCTGGGACTCAATGCTGCGAGGTATTTTGGTCTCCAAGATATATATGGCAGCTGTGATGGGAGAGATGTGCTGATTGTTGTGAAGATAGTGACAGAGAATAATCAGATGGGATGATCGATGTCTGCTAGACACGTATCCTCCTGCGGAGTTGTTATAGGACTTTGGATGACAAGAGTCTTCGGCTGAGCTTGGGGGAATATGGGAATCTGTACTGGAAGAGTACAGTGTCCAAGGTGATCGCCGCGTTCTCTGGCAGCGCAAGACTCATGCTCATGAGCACTTTTAGGTATCCTAAGAGGTGGCAAATTGTTTCTTTGAGCTTGTATGGTGACTCCATAGAAGGAACTGACACAGTAACCCTGGATGGTCGCAGAGAAGCTGCAGAGGAAGCACACTGCACACTTCGTGGACCCTCTTCCAGTACACACCAGGCTGATTACTGTACCGCTTCAACGAACAACGGATCATCGCAATGCGCAAACCCTCGCTCCTTTCGGAGCGACACTGCTAGTAATGGCACATTGGGTCCACGTTCTTGGGTACATACGTGGCATGGCATCACAGCACGAAGTGACCGCATCGACATTGCCACCATCATCCTATCAACTTCCGCAGCCTACGTACGATACAAGCAATGAAATGTTCCCCATCTCAGTCACTCTGTCCTACATATCTCAACGCAACCCACCCAGGGTCCTCCCCAAACACGCTGCACGCCCCGCCAGGGAAATGCTGGTAATTCTGGCATGCGGGAACGGTCTCATCGTCGTACGTTGGCCTGCGAGCAGAGCAGGTGCGGCAGACCCAGCGTTTGCTGTTGCCGTTGGGGTGGGTTGCAGGCTCTTGAGAGGTAAGAGGAGAAGTGCCTGCGATGAGAGAAGGGAGACAAGCTGGGGGTTGAATTGAGTCGAATTGAGTTGAAGTAGAGGGCGGACGTGGGAGATGATGGATTGCCCATTTCCGTCTCACACGAGCCTGGCCTTGCTATGAAGGAGAGAGACTCACTAGAGGTGTGTGTGTGTGTGTGTGTAATTCCTACATCGGAGGGCCGTGCCTCTGTTCGTACCCCTTCCCATTGAAAGGCGTAGCCCAGAGTGCAACCGTTTTTACCCACTCGACCTTACGACCATATCCGGCATCCGTACCCCATTTGAGATACGGCAGATAATCGTGGTCCCGTAGAACCACGGCTATATACATTATATTAAGAATTCCAAAGCCTCCATTACAACCAGACACCATTACACTCTACAATGTACCCCAAAGCTTTTTCCTCATTTCTCCAGGCCGAGCTCTAATCTATCTGTTCTATATACCCTCAGACACCTAGTACTCCATTATATATCGTCACGTAAGAGAGAGAATAGTAACATTTGTCAAATCGAAGCCGGGAATACCCAAATTGAGCTCTCCTTCGATTCCCGTAGAGATACGAGACCTAATTAGGCCTATTCACACGTCGATAGCTGGCTGGGAGGTGTACGGCCATCACTTATTGCTCACTGACTCCGCTATCAAGGGGGTATTTTTTAAGCACATTAGATTCAGCTCTCTTGTCTAATCTCTTTCCTATAGAAAACCTCTATATAATTCTCGTAAACGAGCATAACTCGTCTGTGGCCGGAGTTGGGTACTTATAATATTTAGAAAAGAGTTACCGATCAGCGAGGGAGGGAGATATCATCCGACCGAGAGGGGTGGGGCTCGCCGTCATGTCGATAATACCGAATTCTTCGAGGGGGACGCGTTAACCCTCGATCTAACGCGTCTCGTTGTCCGATTTTCGCTCGTACGTAGTTGACCGTTATCGTAATCGAAGAATCCGATCGTACACCCATATGTAAATGTACGCTCCCTTGAGATCTCTTGGCTCCTCTGACGTGCCAAACCGTAAGTTTACGCCCACTGTAGCTGACGAGTTGGGACCCAATCAACGCGTAGTAGCTGCTAAACAGGTGCAGAGCAGACTCCCGAAGGCATAGGAATCTTTGTCAGAGGGTTCGTAGCCGGCACCACGTACAGGTGGATCTCGTACACTAGAGGTGGTGTTTGGGACAGTTATAGGCAAGGCTACCTCGTGATCTGGTACATGCTCTGTGATGCTGAGACCAGGAATACCCACTACCACGCTGTCGTTATCAGGGCCTTCCTGACATTGTCGAACCTACTCAGCAACCGCATACGAGGAGCAGCGATTGTGCCCACAGGAGCATCTGGGGTTTAGAGTGGTCTTGTAGGGCGCGGTACAGCAGCAGCATTTCCACTTGCGGATTATGGGGGTCTGGATATAGGGAATGTTGACTGAAAAGTTTGCAGACTCGGTAACCGTTCAGGTGTTGGAGGAGAAGAGGCGGTCTGAGGGGGGTTGTGATACCTGAACTGTCCCAGATGGCAGATGGGGGTGCGTCAGGGTAGGAAGTGACATGCAAGAGATGAAAGTCGTGATCGTGGCTGCAATGATTTGCCGAACTGTCCCCCATCGTGTACGGTGAGGTTAGAGGAACGTTATCAGTAGCTTTATTGAGTTGGGGTCTTGACTGGAGAGATGATGGGTAACACTGTCTAGTGTGGTAGAGAAGAACTATGTGTCTTAGATGGAAGAGTACTTCTTCTCGTCGGTATAGGACAGAAGGAAAGAGGGGAGATATGAAGGACCTAAGTCTTGAGGCAGTGGACGGCGCCATTGAATCCGCCGATAGGATGACAAGGATCGGCAGCTTTCCAATATATAGGAATTTAATGCTTAACAAGAGTATGGTCAGATGCATAGACCTCGTCAAACCCGAGGAGGACTACGCTCTCGGATGGCCAAGTGAGCGTGATGCAGCTCCAGTCGCGCGGTCACGAACACTCACTGGCTGGACTGGCAATGCGGCCTTGGTTGGAGGGTGCATTGAATTTGTAGTAGAATTCGACAGCTTGGCCTTTCGAGACAGCATTACAAGATGATTTGCTATTGACAGCTCCATAGGTAGTATAGGATCATAAAACCCTGACAGACGACTTGCTCAACTAAATGTAAGTTCAATTGTGGAGTCCACCACACTTTCTTTTCTTTAGGTGTGCGGCAGTCAAGTCGAATGCCAGTAGTCATTCATGGGAAGAGAATGTGAGCACAAAACGTTCATGTAGATTTTTGAACCTTCTCAGTCTGGCTCTTGGTTACAGTCGCAATGATTGGTTTGTCTCGGCCTGGCCAGATGACGGAATGAAAGCCCAAAGCCCAGTAAGTAATACGTTGATTTCTACTCAAGCTACTACCTGTAGTACCAGATCTTGATCTCACTCCAGTCGCATCAAGGTAGCGATCCAAGCATATCAGTCGGGACCGTAAAGCTAGTAGGCGACTTTTAATATAGCTTCCGTGGACAATACTGTATTGCTTCGCCTACCGGAAGAAGAGGCTTGCTAAAGAATGGGGGGATGAGAGAAGAAAAAAAGGTGGTTGATTGCCAAGCCTGACGCTGATTGGTCAAGGGATGCCGTGGTTAGATTAGTAATTGAAAAGTCGGAGCAGGCCGGAGAATTGAGTAGCTTCTTCGTCCCTACTTTACTTTCCAGACGCCGCAGAATGTAGGTGGTTCACTGTTCAGACACTGCTCAAGTCTGACCTGATTCAATCAAGTCGCTCTTCTTTAGCGGTACATGGATATTGTATACCAGCACTACTTGTCAAGGAACTTTGCAGCGGCTTGAAGGAGGGCAAGGAAGATGGCAAGAAAGACGGCAGGAGATCAAAACCTCCGCAGATTGCTTGATGCCTCAATTGGAGATGCACAGTACTAATGACTCTGGGCAAGATCTAAGTATCTCATGAGTGTTGCTTAGAGCGTTCGCATGATCATCGCTTCACTTTCAGCCTATCGAGTGATGAATGATGTGTTCTTTGCACTTACTAGAACAGGTATTGAAGGGTGGAGTCTTTCTTGAGGTTGGAACGCATGAATCAGCGCCCAGTGACCACGATACGCCTAGTGTAGGCCACGGTGCATGTTCCTTTGAGTGACACTCAGTGCGGCAGGTTACTAACTGTGTTGGGTGCCGGATTCTGGGTCAAGCAGCGCTTGTGTCATCCTGGCTCCTTCCTGTTCAGTTTTGACGAAGGACATTGAGCAACTGTAAACAAAGTGTTCAACGATCTCTACCCAATTCTGTCATCCATCTCTTCCTCCCAACACTCCACTCTCTCCACCATACCCACAATTCCCATCATTGAAATCAACTTCACAAGATGCCGTTCCGCCATCAGCCAGTCACCAAGCCGATCCGAACCAAATACGACAAGCTCAAAGTCGACATCCTCCGAGGTCTTCTTGCCCTACGCGTCCTTCCAACTACAGGCAAGAAAGCCGACTTGACCATGCGTCTGTTCCAGGACGACAATAACAATGAGAGATTGGCAGCTCTAAGGGCTCTTTGGCAGCACCCTGCCGTCGTGAAGCCATCGTCAGACCCGGATCCAGGACAGGGCCCAAGCTTATGCTATCCACGACAGAACCATACCTCCTATTACGAGAGCATCAGTATTGCCCAACTTGTCTACCACCTGCACGAGCGTGCACTTTCCGTCCATGGCGATCAAGAGGACTTGGTCAAACGGCTCAGAGATTACGACTGGGATGGTTCCGACTCAGGCTACAGCGAGTCCGACGACGAAGAAGAGGAAGATCACACCGCTAGCTTCTACCATCGCACGCTAACGCATCAGAGCCTCTACGACGGTAAAGGTCTTCACCCGAGTATACTCATTGGACTGCGCATCCAGGGGTTCTTCTACGATGCAAAAAAAGGGCTGCAATTACACTGTGATCGTGGCCGCTTTAACCTCACATTTTGCGGCTGGCCATGGCCGACATCCGTTGGCTTACCGTTGTGTCATACAGATCGGATCAGGCTCGATAAGGTCTTGTGGAACGGCTTAAGATCTGTCCAGCAGCTGGATGAACAGGGTCTAAACAACAGTATTGGTCTGGACAAGGGGGAAAAGGGAGAAAATTTGCTTATTGTCAGTGCTGTGATCGCGGTGAGGAAAGGGATGGGAGGTGATTACCGTGTGCTTGGGCTGCAGTGCGAGGGGATGAGCACGATGGGATACGTGTACGCTGATGACAGAGAGGCCTGTCGCGTCAAATGTCCGGGGCGGTTTGTTCGCTTTTTCGACGTTGCAGTTGATAGAAGAAAGGATCAATGAGTCTCGCTTAATGCTGCCATGACGCTAGCGATGGGTTGTACTGGGCATTTGCTTCTGGCCTGACCTTGAATTATTTCTATGAAGAATTTCATCTTGCTTCATTTTTGTTTCCCTGTTGAAGATAGTACATTGAGAAGATCATTTGCAAGGCAACAGTCGCCAAAGAGTCTCTTGCACCGTCAGATGCCTCTACGAGCTTGACGCAAGAGGGCATCGTCCTTCTATACAACTCCTGGAATAGATGCAAGGATGGGAATGAGTTTGAGTATAGCTATGTTATCTACTAAAGGTAGGGGGAGCAAGGACTCGGGTACTTCTAGAATGTATGTCTAAAGTACCTCAACAATGGTGACAACGAGTGCGAAGAGCAACTGGGCTCCGTCTAGCACTAGCTCACGGCCAAATCTAAGCGTGGTTCAAAAGATTTATGAACCTTAGGTTTGGTAACGGGATCTCGCCATCCGATACATAACCCGATTCAAGACTCTGGTTGGGTTGCTTGCAGCGCAAGTCGCGAAAGAAGAAGCCGCTGCACGCGACAGTTTCGACAAAATGCCCTCATAATCACAAAAAGACCTTCATTCCTGCCGAGCCCCTTCCATTTGATCCTCCTTCTACTCCACCATGTTTGGCATCTGGCTACTCCTGTTGTTCTTACAATTTTACGTCTTCCCTCTGGCGCAAGCTGCTTCGCTACCGCTACCATCCCAAAGCGAACCCATCACACTCACGGAAACGACGAAATTGACGATAGCCAACCATGCCAGCATTTCCCTTACTAACCCCAGCAACAACACATCCGTCTTCTTCGGCAACCCGGGAGATCCCATCCCAGCTGCCGAATTACGCCATACCCTCTCCGTCGCCAGGGCCAGTGTCCAAGCTTACCTTCCTCGCTACGCCAATGAGCCAATCTCTGACAGCTTTTTCAAAACAAATATTTCATTCCCTGAGACCGGAAACAGCGTCTGCATTTCCGTTTACGCCTACGGCTTTGGTCTGTCGTGGCTGCAGCTAAGCCAAGTGCTGGTGATCCTCGAGGGGTACATGCGTGGGCGGGGGCCTGGTCATCCGCATACGCACTACCAGCAGCTTGAATTTTACGTACAATTAAGGGCTGGAATTGAGGTGGCGCATGGTGTGGTGGAGTTTGCGCCTGGAGCGAGAGCCGTGGCGAAGCGCACTTTGGTCACCACAACCCTTCTTCAATTACCGCACGCAAACATCTCGTCACTCGGTACTGTCGCCCTACCCATCACATTCCACATCCCCAGAACGAACCTCGACCTCAATATCACCGCCCTCGGCCTTCCCATTCCGCAAGATACCATGCTCACCACCATCGAGTCAGCCTATACAGAGGTAATCTTAGACCACACCGACATCGACTCTCCAATGCCCGCCAACCCACCTTTTTCTTTCACCGCCACTTCTGGGAAACGGCCTCATCAATTTAAGACGGAAATCCTAATCATTCCTTATATTGGCAAACAGTTCTCTTGGGCTTTGCTGTGTATTGTGATGTATGGGTTAAGAGACTTTCTACGTCAGACGAGTCATTTCAACTCGGTGAGCTTTCAGATTATAGATGCGAGTTTGGGGAAGATGGGGTCTGGGGATGTGCTTTATTGGCCTGTCAATGAGATGGCATCAACGAAAGGATTGAAGCTGGAATAGGGGAGTCATGGAACGCGAGCTGCTATACGAGCAAATTCTCCGATTGGATATCCGAGAGATACGAATCAAAACCCTCGCATGTAGTCGCTATGCCTTCCTACAAGGCTGAGATTTTACACATTAGGAGTCGTCATATAAATGGGGCGCCTTGATTCTGTCTCTTGGGTCCTATGTCATACCAAAGAAGAACACTTTCTTCTCAAAGCTCACGTTTCCCAAGAGCGTGGTTTCCGCCTTTCAATCACACCTTTCTAATCTAACGAGATCATATTGAGTACTGTACGTCACAACGTGAGACCGATTGACCAGCTTGGCATCGTAAGATAACCGCATCACGGAATATGTGTATTGTATGTCTGGGATAGCGAAACCACAAAATAGGATGAGACTGAGAGGTACGAGACTTCAGAATCAGAATGAAACCAAACGTAGCCAGCGATAAAGTACGCAGCTTGACTGTTGCTGCTCCTCAAAAAGGTCGCCTTCAGCATCTCCTCACGTGTCCCACAAGCAGAGCCATCTTCTTGTTTGATAGCATCTCTTCAAGTTGGTCACTTGCCACTTCTCGGGTAGGAGCATCAATCTCGGCTGCACGATAGAGCCAGCACAATTCTTCATGAAATCCTAACTCTTTTCAGATTCAGTCGGTCAATGACTCACCTCTTCTCTCCTTGCCGCCACTCGTATGGCCGCCAACTCCACGAATGATTCTGCACTGACCGAAGATGTGGACATATAACGACAAGTATATGCATCCTCGCGCTTCAGCGGTTTGCGTTGGAGACTCCTATTCGGGCTAGTCCTACGAGGAGCGTGTCGTCAGAGATGCTAGGGTCATCGCTGTGTTTACGTTTGTGTTCGTATTTTCAAGATCTTCCCTCGGTGGTAGAAGGAAGGGATCCGACGAGTGGGTCCTCTCTTCATGATCTCTCAGGGGGTGCTCCAAAACTTGAGAGCGACGCTGGGATTTCTCTTCGCCGTCTTCTTCTTTTTCTTCTCTTTCTCCTTGAGATTGCAGATGGCGACGTAGGAACCATTGCATTTGACAGTGGAAATACCGCACGTGAGATTCAAAGAGACAGTGAGCGCAGTACAAGCGTACTCATAGTCTTCCTTGCGCTTCAAGATATTGAGGAGGCAGCCTGGTTCGTGGTTGTTCTCCTAGAGTTGTGGGCGCTGCCTTAGGGGTAACAATGGCTTGATGATTCCCCATCCTGACGTTTAAGCTTCACTCTATAAAGACAGAATGGGAAGAGGCCCCTCAATTGCAATAATGAGACTGGTAGAATTTATTAAGGAGATGCTGAAAAGAATATAGTGGAGATGTATCGTTGCTGATAGATGATGGAGTGAAGCAATAACAGATGTAATGGCTGGCATCGCCTTGAATACAAGAGAAATATCTCCAATATCTGGCGATGTTGGCATAGAAGCTGACAGGTAATGATTGAGATAAGGGCGAACGTTTCCAAATAAGTACCCGCACGATACTTGGATACTTCATCCTATACTGAGCGAGGCCTTCCGTTAACCCGTTCTGTAGATCTAAGCATGGAAGAGAGTAGAGTAGTGCTTGCGCCGCTGCTTCAATTTTGAGACCAGCGGAAGTGTAAGAGGGTGGAGAACGGATGGTGAGTCGAGATGAGCCGTGTTCCTGCAAAGCTTCAAAGAGTGCGGCATATGGGCAACAAAGAGCTAGAAGAGAAGGGGTTAGGCCTGATAGTCTCCTGCAGCGGAGAAGTGTGGCTCCATCCCCAACAACTCACAAGGCTAGTCTGCAGAATCAAAGCCATATGCTTCAGGTATTTGCTATCGAGCAGGTAGTAGAGTTGATTCGAAGCAACTTACACAGCAATAACATCTCGATTGCTGGCTACAAGCCTGGATCACAAGTCATGCAAGCAGGTAGTATTTTGCCCACCGTTTTGTATTAAGTGATCGATTGTCGGCTCCAAAGGGGTACGCTGAGAACCCCGGAATTCGGCCTCGTACCCTCGCGCCTTTGAAGGAGTACGACGATATAAAGGTGTGAACTTTAGGGTCGACACCACCGAGGTGTCGGAGCTTCAAAGCCTGTAGTGCGGTAGGTAGAGATAATAGGCTTGAAGAAGTAAGTTTGAGACGGCTCCTGACCCCACAGAAGTCTGTTTGGTAAAATATCACGGGGTTGTAGCCAAAGCACCGCGATCCTTCCAAATTACGAAAGCTGCTTTCTGCCATGAGATTTTCGCCCTATGCATGACACTTGCTGATTCTCTTACACACCGTCCTTGAGAAGTCGGATGGAAGGACTCGTCTTCTCCTCGCAGGCCACAGTTGGAACAAAGACGACATCTTCATTTCGAAATGTACTTAAGACGATATTTCTGAGCTCCAATAAAAAGACGAAGGCTGAAGGCGCTACAGTCGCTGACTGTAAAGTCTTGAATGAGTAGCTCAATGACACCACGTCCACGCTGAATTGCATTTAATAGGAGTCTGTTGACCATTTTATGAAGTGGTATGATGACGTATCCATTTATATCCATACTATACGACCAATACTCCTCAAGGCAGACAGGAGAGTATGCTCCGCAATTTCTCCAACACGACTGCCTGCTCAGTCGCATTCGCATCTGTCTTAGCGACAGCGTTTCCCACACTGATACTGGCATAACACCCCGCCGTATCAACAACCGTGGTCTCAGTCGGAAGCCTGGTCGATCCACATGTGTTGACATCCTTTGCGGTACTGCTCGTTGCGCTATTGATCCTGGACAAGACGAACTTGAAGTCGGCAGGCGATGAACAAGTACTGCAGTTCACGGCGGGGAAATTAACGTTGAGCCAGATATCGGATGGAAGGTACGGCTTGCCAGACGCCACGAGGCTCTGAGTGACATTGGTCGATAGGTCTGCGTATACGGTCATATATGTCTGCACTGGCGCAGTGTATCCGGTCTGCGACCCTGTGGTGCCGCTGAAGGCAATGGCGGGGATTCCTTCTTTTGAAGCCTCCGTCGCTGCTCCAACAGTTCCAGATATGAGAACAGTGCTACCAAGGTTTGCTTAAACGGAGGTTGTCAGATGAACCCTCCAACCCAACAGAATAAGACTCCTTACCTCCCACGTTAAAACCCGCCACCGCAATATCTGGCGCACCACCGAAGAATTTGGGAGACAACGTCTGGATGCCGTAGCGCATCGATGTGACTGGGTAAGAGTTGACGTAATTGAGGCGTGTGTTGGATGCATTGTTGCCCTCGGCCGGAGATCCAGTAGGACAAGAATTATACTCGCAGGGCTCTGTGAGCGGCGTTGCTGGCGCGTCTGATGAACCTGAAAATTCTCCATCAAAACAACGGTTCTCCTGAAGATGCGGAGGGCAAGTGCATACCTGTCCCTGACTCGTTTTCAGCAGGAGCACTCAGGACAACGGAGTCGCCGGCTGCTGTTAGGGTGTTGTAAAACGTCCGGATATTTATCTCGGCCCAGCCATCATCATTTGAGAGAACGACATTTGTGGCTCTTGTGGTCAATGGAAGCAGCGCAAAAGATAGGGTGAAGAAATGCATATTATTAAACAAGATGGGGGCAATTCTTTTGGAGAATGAGGATGAATGTTGTTCTACTGCTGTGTACTTATTGAAAGGAAGGGGATTCTAGCTTGCGCCTTCCGAATCGATGATATGGCCGTTGTATGTATACTTACACACCTTCCTCTTATCGAAAAGGTAAGGTGCCAGCGAGAGACCCACGTGCATGAGCGAGCGGTCGCCGGTTGGCCGACGGACCGTGGAAAGAATGCATACCCGCAGCCGCCTGACGCCGATCTTGTAGATCCAATGACGCAGCCTGACGAACGACTCTCCGCATTCATTTGCTGATTCGTCGGCCATCGAAATCCATCAACACCAATCGAAAGGTGCATGTGCGCTCCACTAAACCCTTGGCCCAAGGGAGTCTCCTTGTCATCCCAACTGCGTCCTGAAGTAGATAAGCCCTAACTCTACACCGTTCAAGTCACATAGCAAATCAGATAAACCGGTCTGGGTATGATTTCGACCCACCAAAGGGCTTCCAGAATACATGGACTCGTACTTGCGAGGGTTACAGATCTCCAAAAAATTCGCATTGGCGTTCGGGATTATGAGTTAGCTAAAGAGCGGCGCTGCGAGAAACTCTCTCCCGAAGATAAACCTACCTCTGTGCCTGACTACTTTCCCCTTTCAATGCCATATGCTGATGATGGAAGCCCTGAAGTACATGGAAAGCTGTCGATTTAGGCGATGGGACCGTAATTGAACCGACCACTCCGCGCGTTGTGGAAAAATGCGTATTTATATAGATATAGAAAGTATCAACTCAAATATCTCATCTAGACAAAGCCAGCCGGAAACAGAATAGATTTCCTCTTTCAGCATTCAAAAGATAGCAGCCAAACCTCATTGGTCCACCCACAGAATCAACTCGATATCAGGGATCGAACGTCACCTTGGCCATTTGGGTATAAGCACCGCTGACTGTCCAACTCACCAAAACATCCTTTGCGTCGGTGTCGAAGAATTGCGAATAAGCGTGTCCCCCGTAATTAAAGATCCCCTGGTCCCATGGGGGATCAAAGATCTTCTGCGCTTCCGTGTAAGGCCCCCACTCGTTTCCGCTTGTAGAGATGCTAACATAGAAGGTCGAGCCGGTTGTCGCTTCACCCATGAACATGGCGACCCAGTTTTGGTGGTGTGGTGACCAGAAAACGTCGCCAGAAGCGAAGCTGCCGGTGGCGATGGAAGCTGCCGAGGCCTCTTTCTTCGACCAGCTTGTGCCATCCCAGTAAGTTAACTTGGGTGTAGATGTCAGCATTGTGCAGAGGAGGAGTTAAAGGAGCCGCAGGAACTCTTATCAAGTAGAACGCGTGATCGCATCCTCATGCGCTTACCTTTGAAGTATCTTCCATCTCGTCCCAAGGGACCTTGGCAATATACAGGTTTTCGTCTTGGACGGCGAAGAGTCGGATCTCTCCGTCAGTATGGGAAGCGACGGCCCAACCCCACTTATACTGGAAGTCCGGAGTGATGTATTTCTGAACAGGGCGCGTGACAGTAAGGCCAGTATCGTTGGCCGTGATTTTGCATAGCGTGTTGTAATACCAAGTTCGGGGTGTACGTAAACCAACCCCATAGACAGCGTACGCCTCTAAGTCGGATCCATTGTTAAATTGCGTGGCAAGGGGATCTTGTAACATTATTAGTGTACATTGGCTTACAGTTTAGACCATCGTGTTTATCAAACGTACTGTCGGGCCAAATGAACCAGTTGCTATGATCCGTCGGGTCAGTGGCATTGCCCTCGCCTTCGCCCCACGGCACCATCAGTTCCGGGTGGCCGTTGCTTCCAAAGTCTTGGACTGCCAGAGGGTTTGAGGTATCGGGAACGTAAGTGTATGTATTGGATTGCCTAGAAAGACTTCAGTGTCAGCATTCCTTCAAGGCAAAAAGCCGAGCAATGGGACAACCCGAAGTGGTATTGAGAGCCTCTTGTTCGCAGAATATATCTCGCAAGTCGCAGGATGGTCCGTCATAGGAAGCATTTGCTCCACAAAGGTGCGTACCAACTGGAATTCGTCGGCCCGTCAATTGGCGTCTGAGTATCGCCAAAGACAATGACATTGTGCCCGTTAACCTTTCCGCCGCCTCCGTTGTCTCTGGTAACACCTGGAAAGCCTTTCGCGGTAGCGTTTCCAGCGTAGACGGTTGCCGCAATTGCAAGGGACGACGATGAGGCTGATGCCGATGCTTTTCGTGCCACGAGGGCAGAGGAAGTGTGGAAGAAGATGACGCTCGCCGAGAGGACGCCGACAATCCTTTGAATAAACATACCGTAGAAGGGTAAAAAGGATGTCAAGATTTACCGTAAAAGGTAAAGAACGTGTAGTTACGCTCCGCGACTATACGACTATAAGGGTAAATGAATGTGATGCACACCCTGACAGACGCAAAAAGCTGAAAATACTGTAAAGAACGACTGGCTGCAAATGTAATTGAATAGAGAAGGAAATGGTAGAAATGCAAGAAGGTATACATTTTACATAGTGAATACCAACACAACCAAATCAGTAAGGGCACATATTTGCTAATTTACCATACAGTCACGCGCCTTTTCGTATTTGTGAAATGAGAGGATGACAGCATTGCGGTGACGGCGGCACAGGGGTGGACCAAAAGTTCGGGCTAGCACTTCTCTCCAAAGTATAAGGAAACTCCACTTGCTGTCATTACAAAACGTTCTCTGCTTCTCTGCTTCTCTGGTTTCCTGTGCGCTTGGAGGCATCCAACTCGTCGTCATTCTGTGCAGACTCGTGCAGTCGAAAATTCTTGTGTAGCTCTTGGCACGGAAGTATGTGGTACTCACCAATCGATGCCGATTGTAGTACCCAATAATATAATAATAATAACGATGTTGTTAACAATGCGGGAGGGCGGTTTCGAATAGAGCAACATATTGGATTCGCCCCGGCCTAGGCCCCTCGGGTGAGAAGATAGGGGTGGGCGGCGGTGAGGTTACTTAGAATACTCGTATTCACTAGGATTTGCAATCTCTAAAATCGAAATCAAAGACTAGAAAAAAATTAAAAGAGCGTAAAAGATAATTATTAGAATTCTAGGAGTTTTTTGAATTTGGATTAAGTTTTAGAGATTGCAAATCCTAGTGAATACGAGTATGTACCTTAGCCCGGTACCTTGCTTTCGCCACATCGTCGTGCAATTTTTAGCATCCGCGGTACTCGTACTTGAGAATACTTCTCTCGGTCTCTGGGCTCATCTTAAGATACCCGATAACCTCCCGGATCTAATGTAACAAATCTACCTCCACCCCCTGTTATTATACTATTAAGGCATTTACGAGGTAATCATAACTGGCAGGACTTGAAGGGTAGTCGTACGTGTGTTCAATGTCGCATAGACATTAAGGGTCAGTTCGGAAACCACAAATTTTAAAAAAAACCCCCCCTTTTTATTCAAAAAAAAAAACCCCCCTCAAAAAAAAAAAAAAAAAAAAAAAAAAAAAAAAAAAAATAAAAAAAAAAAAAAAAAAAAAAAAAAAAAACTTCCAAAAAAAAAACCTTTTAATAAAATTAAAAAAAAAAAAAAAAAAAAAAAAAAAAAAAAAAAATTTAAATAAAAAAAAAAAAAATAAAAAAATAAAAAAAAAAAAAAAAAAAAAAAAAAAAAAAAAAAAAAAAAAAAAAAAAAAAAAAAAAAAAAAAAAAAAAAACTAATAAAATAAATTAAAAAAAAAAAAAAAAAAAAAAAAAAAAAAAATAATCTACTAGTATCTCTATTAATAAGATTAGAATTAGAGTAACTCTAATATCTATATATATATTAATTATAAATATTTATTATTTTAGCGTACTTAGCCTTATTTTACTAAAAAATAAGACTTAAAACTTATTTTTAAATATTTTAAAAATATATTCTAAAAATATAATAATTAAATAATACTCTATATATATATAACGCTAAGTTAAAAATAAGTAGAGGTTATTTTTAAAATATATAATTATCGAACTAGTCTTAAGAGGAGAGATTTTAATAGAGAGATTAGTAATAATAGTAATATTTCTCTAAGAATTAAGAGAGAGTATAGTATATATAAAGTCTTCTTATATTATAAAGGAAAGTATATAAAGCGATTTTGTAATAGAATAGTTGCTATATAGTCTCTAGACTAGATATAAGTTATTTATAATAGATTATATAATAAGAGTAAAGTAGTAGTAGAGATAATAGTAGAAAAAATAAATTTGTTATATATGGGAGGTTATCGAATACGATACTCGAATTATAAGAGATTTAATAAGTTTATTTTATCTTCGATAACTAAATAGTATAGCGTCGTTATTAGAGAGTTTTAGACTAGAGAATCTATATCTATATATATTAAATTAGCTATCTTAAGACTCTAATTTAGCGATAAACTTTATATATTTTAAAGTCGTTAAATAGCTAATTTACTATCTATATTAAATTACTAATATAAGTCTTCGAGAATATCTAGATATATTAAGAGATATATATATATTAAATTACGCTAATAAAATCTATAATTTAAAAGATCTCTTAAAAATATTTAGATATTCTAGCTATTCTATATATTATTATTATTATCTCGTCTATTAACTATAAATTAAATTATTTAAAATCTTTAAATTATTATCTTTTAAATCTCTTAGACTATTTAAATTATTAATTATATTAAATAATATTTAAATAAGATAGATATATTTATTAATTAATTATCGATTCGCGATATTAATAGATTATTTCTTAATATTAAATATTAGAAAAGATATCGTACTAAGATTACTTATACTTTTCTTTATAAAATTATTATATTAATTATAAAGTCTAGAGTAATTATAACTACGATATTTAATAAACTATATATTATATATATTATCTATATAAGATAAAGAAATAAAGCGAAATTAATAGATTAGAGTATAGATTTAAATAAATATAACGATTTAATAAATAGTCTTAGAACTAAGACTATTAAGTTAATTCTTTTTAAGTATTATATATAATATTACTACTTTAAAGCTCTCTTTAATATTAATTCTAATATTATAACGCTCTTTTTAAATAAATCTAAATAATTTAATTATATAAATTCGAAGCTTATTAATAAAGAGAAGAATATTATAATAGATAATAATAAAGATAATATATTAATTAAGTAAGATAAGTTATTAATTAAAGATATTTAGAAGATTTCTCTAAATAATAATTTTTTAAATTTAGACTTTAAAAAAGCGTTAAAAGAATTTAAGTAATTAAAGAATATATAATAATCGAAGAATATTCAATTAATTTAATTAAAGATTATTTCTAATATATCTATAGCGAATAATCTTATCACGCGTATATTAATAATCTCTTATTTTAAAATTCTTATTATAAAGATAAAGAAAAAGCGAAAAAAGCCTATAAAAGTAATTATAAAAATACTTTTATTAAGCGATAAAAATAATTAATAAAGAAGATTAAGACTTAATAGTATAATATTATTAATATAATAATTAAGATAGAATAAATAAGAGATATAATAAGATATTAAAATATAAAGATATAGACGAAAGTTTAAAAGATATAATTTAAGACGAATTAGAAGTAGAGAGATTAATAATATATAACTTTTTTATAATAAGATTAAGAGAGATTAAATCTATAGTAAGAGATTTTTTTATATCTATAAATAAGAGTATAATTAATATTAGAGACTTAATAATATATATAATAACTCTATATTATAGTATAAAGAGAATACTATCTATATAGAATTATTATAAGTATAGACTTTATAGTAAAATAGAAAGATTAAAAGATCTTAATACGCTAAGCTTAATTGGGTTATAATATAAGTAAGTAAGATTATTAAAATCGTAATATTACCTCTCTCTTTAATTTAAAGCTTCGGCGACGACTACTATATAGTAGATATCGATCTTATAAAAAGTATATCTAGATATATACGAAGTAATATTCTTAGATATATTAACTTAATATTTTATTACGATATCGAAGTCTTTTTATAAGTTAATATAGCTACTATAGATTAATAACGTTAATAAAAAAAAATTATTCTTAAGGTCTTTTAAATAATAAATAGAGGCTAACGACCTCGAAATAGTAATAATAAAAGTTTGCTATTAGATTTAAATATTCTACTATATTCGTAAATAGTTATTAAAATAAATTTTCCTCGATCTTAGAGTTAATATATCTAATTTTATATATTAGATATCTTCTCTTACTAGTTAAAAGATTATTCTTTTATTTATTTAATTTAAATTAAACTATTTCTTTAATATTATAGATTTTATTTTTTTATTAATATCGATAGATAATAATAAAGACTTAATCTATTCTAATAATAAGTTATTATTATTAAGATATAATAGCTATAAATAAAAGATAAAATAAATATTATTTATAAAAATCGAAAGCTCTAACTTATAAGCGAAATTATTTAAAGCTTTAGTAATTTTAAATAATTCGAAATTTTTATAATCTAGTAATTTACTAAGATATATAATTTTAATATTTTTTCTATTAAATATAATTATATCTTTAACTCTAAATTTTAATATCGAAAGTTAATAATAGTTAGCTTATTTCTTCTATAGAGCTTATAATTATTTAAATTAACTTCTTAAGTAATTTCTTATAATATTTATTTCTTTAATAAATTTATTAGCTAATTTAATATTTCTCTTCGCTTTTTAATTAGCGAATTAATCTTAAAGAATTAAGAGTTTTATTCTTAAGTAGAGAATATATTCTTTAATAAAAAGAAATAATAATACGCTTAATAAGGCGTTCTTATCGAAATTAATTTCGAACTTTACTATTAATAATAAGTTTATCTAATTATCTTAATTATAATTAATATAAATTTTAAGATATTACTTTAAAGTAGCGTTAGCGTTCTTTACTTATTTATTAATTTCGAGATAAAATATAATAAAGAGTTTAAATTTAATTCTAATTCTTTTATATAGTTTTCTCTAGAAATATATCGTAAATTAGATATCTCGATCGAAGATAATAATAAATAAATATTCTTTCTCTCGCTATATAAATTCGATAAAAGCTTAAACTACTATCTTTACTTCTAGAAAATCTAAAAGAATAATTTTTTTTTCTTATTAAGTTTATTTATAATTATTATAATATATTAATAAAGATATTTATATCTAAGATAAATAGATAATAATATAATAAAGTTAATAAAAATATCTTATTAATATCGTTCGAGAATAAGAAGAAATTTAAGTAAATCTTACTTACTCTCTCTATAAGTCTTAAATC